GACCTGGCAAAACAAAAAACGCCAGAACAGACGGGAGCGAAACGGGAGGCGCGTCGAAATTTGTGGCCAGAGACCCCACGACATTGCGGTTAAGAGCCGCACACTCTACCGACTGAGTTAACCGGGCATATCTATAAAGCGTCTTAATATAATATATATAGCTAACATTTCCTCAATTTTTATTTCAAATTTCTTCAACTTTCTAGATGCTTTCTATTTATGTCAAAGATTTCGACGATTGGATTATCGCTATTCCATAATTATCAAATTCAAATTTTATTCCACATTCAGACTCTGAAGTTACCAGAGTAACCCATCACGTGACTCAAATTCTTCCTATACTTCTGGAATTGTTCGTCGTTGTTCAAAATCACACTTGGGATTTATCTCAACGCATACGCTTCAAATTTTGTTTCCACGAAATTTACTGACCATGCGATGTGTTGTAAACTGCTCAAGGAGAACGATATTTTTTGTAAAAGAAATTGTCAATTCTGCAGATCCGTTTACATGTCGACCTTTGGTTGACTGTTGTTAACGGGTTTGATGAGTTGGTACATTATTAAGTCGATCTAGTAGTTACTATTGAAATGAGTTGCGAGCTGTAGTGAGTTGTATTTTGATAATAAAAATTGTTATTGTTATCTTTCAACTTGCTTAATTTTCTATCGTATTTAACAATCGATAACCTATGTTCACTCAGCGATCTTGATGCACTCGTCTCTATTTTATTCCTTGCGAAGGTCTTCATTCAGAAATTGTTAACTCAAGCAGCTATTAATACTAGATCGTGGACGCAGAATGTCTGTGGAAAGGAACTATAGTTTTCCATCAAAAAAGCTACTTCAAGGCATTCACGGTACGTTGGTGCAATTCTGACCTACACTTGATACCTCGGCCGATAGACTCTCATTTTAACAAATGTACCGTACAATGGCCTCAAACAGACACACCTAAAGATTCTAAAACTTGCCCCATAATTCTTGTCGCATGCGGGTCGTTCTCTCCGGTGACATATCTTCATCTCCGAATGTTTGAAATGGCGAGGGACTATCTTGAATCTAAATCTATACGGGTCTTAGCCGGGTTTTTATCACCAACGAATAACTCTTATAATAAGCCCGGTTTAGCACATTCCACGCATCGAATTGAAATGTGTAGATTAGCTACAGAGAGCTCTCGTTGGATTAGTGTTGATGATTGGGAATGTCGCCAACCCAGGTGGATGCGAATGAGAGAAGTGGTTCAAAATTTTCAAACAGAAGTCGAGACAATCATGAAAGGTATATCGTGAACAGCATTATCAGTATCTTAGAAATGGATTGGTCCTAAATTCGCCCTTTAAATGTCGGGCTTTTACATTTGTGCATTCCCCAATTTCTAGACCATAATCAACAGTTTCAAATCATGTTACTGGCCGGTGGAGATTTGATTGAAGCATTTTGCAAGCCGGGACTATTTTCAGATGACGATGTGAGTCATCATTCTAGTTTCTTACATTTGCTCCAAAATACTAACTTCTGCTCATACAAATACCTACTCAGTTGGATTATATGCTTAAGAATCATGGATGCGTAGTGATAGAACGTAGTGGTTCAACACACGACAAACTGATGGCTACCCATGATATTTTAAGTCGGCACAAGGTAATCAAGATGTCAGATCTCCGTACGTTACATCAGCTCGAGTTTCTAACATGACCTTTTCGAAGCATAACATCCATGTAGTAAGGCAGGATGTTTTTAACGACATCAGCTCAACCAAAATTCGGTATGCTTGGATGTTTTACTTTCCTCGTTCAAAATCATTTAGAACTAATCATTCATCACTTCACTCCAAAGACAATTTGTGCAGGCACAAAAGTCTATCAAGTATCTCACACCCGATCCCGTAGTTGATTATATTTATCAACACAAACTGTATACTTCGTAGTTTGCACTATCGGTATCATGGGCGATTTAATCAAATACTGTATACATTACAACTATATTCATTCAACAATGTACAATCCCTTATCAGATGTATCTTATATATAATAAAACCGTTCCTGATTGTGAAATTAATTGCATGATTGAAGCTTACAACCCACATATAATGAACGCCCTCCCCCAGTATCAAGCGCGAAGGTCAGACAAATTCTGCCTCCCCAGTATATCAAACTTGCATCTTCCTACACCTCATTAAATTTCCTGACACAAAAGGGCTCTACACCGGAAAAACTAATTATAAATTGAATTATCGAACACCTAAGGTAGATTTTCCACGTTTTTGTGCATCAACGCGTTTCCACTTGGTTAACTGTTACCTCATACTTAATATATCTCGAGTAGTATAGTGGCGAGTATCCCCGCCTGTCATACACTAATAATTAATTAGAATATGATCGCGGGAGACCGGGGTTCAATTCCCCGCTCGAGAGTTGGTTAAAGTAGATAATATAGATACTTTTTTGATCGGTTGAAGGAATTTTGGACGGTGTTTGTCACAATCTTTGAATGTTCGGATGCTGGCTTTTTTTTCGGAACTCATCGGATGTTCTAGATTATACTGCGAGTTTAGATTTGTTTATGTGAGCTTCATATTTTTCTTAGAATTGTACTGTAGAAATCAGGATGCATGCAAATGATCACCAGCCCGCTACGCTGCCTTTACTTCTAGTCGCTAAGACAGACAGGCAATTCAGTCCATTTTAGTCGCAAATATATTTACATAATAATAATACTATCATCAAAATACTAGCACTCATGTTATTTTTTATCAGTTCTGAACAATTTCAAGCAAATATGTCTAATTATGGAACAGTAAACTTAAATTTTCCACTCCAACGCGTTTCCACTTGATTAACTGTTCCTCCATACTTAATATATCTCGAGTAGTATAGTGGCGAGTATCCCCGCCTGTCATACACTAAAAATTAATTAGAATATGATCGCGGGAGACCGGGGTTCAATTCCCCGCTCGAGAGTTACATATTTGATAGCAGTATTGAATTTTGGTACTCGATATCATTGTTATTGTACCCATAATCGACATTGAATCTATTTTGATAAGACGACGTTACGGGAAAACAAGTGAAAAATGTACGTTCAGATTATAGTATTGCTCAGTTGGCCAAGAGGTTGGTAGTGTCTGGAGGTAGCAGAAACTAGCTTAGTGATTGAACTCGAAATGTAATTCAACAATTCGTGTAGTCGACTAGAATGACTGAAGACTTAAATGTTTTATTTCAATCAAATAATTATTAATCATCTAGTAAGTCTGATTAATTTAACTTTTTTGTTTCGCTCTTTTCTTCCTCTTCAAGATGTCCTGAGTCACATCGAATTCTCTTATCCTTGTACGAAATGACTGATCCTTCATGAACTCCAGAATCTTCTGAAACCTCTGAAACTTCGATCGTCGGAATTTGTGGTACTTTTAAGTTATCCGATTTGTCAGAATTCAAGCTACTAGATGTCTTGTCCGAATTCTGAACTCGTTTTATCCATCTTCCTACATTCTTCAACGCTAAAGCTACTATATCTACATCTTTGGTTAATGGCATAAAATCACCAAGAACCGGAAAGGCGTGGACCATTTCCTCGTAGAGTTCCCATGTGACTTTTGTGTTTGGTGATGATTTGGTAAGGTTGGAGTAAAGCTCGCCTATACTATGATGTAATTGTTCATGAGGAGATGATTGGATTAATATCGGGGGAAGGGTATCTGAAAATAATTTAGACC